AAATTTCATTTTTATTCCAAACAATTTCCACATATTTACAATGTCCTCACAAAACTTATATTTTTTTAAATAATACAAATATTCCTCTTTCTTGAGCTATACAACAACATAAAAATGGTTATAAAATAACCAAACTAAAAATTTTTTTTTGCGCCGCACATAAGGCAAAAGGGACGATTTTGTTTATTTTGAAGTTTATTATAGTATGTGTGGATGTAGCTTTTTAAAATTATTTTTATATTAAAGAAGGACTATTTGCAAGTAAGTTTTTATTTTTTGATTAGTTTACGTGCAACAGTTTTAAAATTGTAGCTATTTAAAAAAGCTGTATAAAATTTACTAAGAAATAGTTATACCGTAGATGGTAAAAAAAGTACCCCGGAGTACTCTCATTTGATTTTGGTAAAAATATTTTTGAGTCCTTTAGAAAGCCCTCACATAAATTTAGCTTTTCCTTTGCATCACTTTAGGATTAATTGTATTTTGTTTACAGCTACCAAATAATCTATTCGCAGCAGCTGATGGACAAATAAAAAATTTAAAAATACAAAAGCGAAACGACGAATCTCAAAATTTTTAATTTGTTACGAACCCCTGTACAATGTTTTTCTGTTACGGTTATTTATTTCACGTAAATATCAAAATATAAACATCATGTTCCATATCAAAATGGATAAAACAATTTTTCGCTGGGTTCGGTAAATTTACATTTTTATTAATGCTGTTGTTTTTGCATAAATGGTTTTAAACCATCATAAAATATCAATTTCCCGCACCCCAAATCAATTTTATTAGTTATTTAATTATTTTTGTCCAGCTAAATCGTCACATTTGCCTTGTGTGCGCCGAAAGTCAAGCGAAAATGGGAAATTAGAAAAATATTGAAAACAGTTTCGTCAATAACTCCGCCAGCTCTACGACCTGGACTAGGTCACTTAAAAAGTTCGCGCAATCTTTTTTTTTTATTTTGCAATACCGTGTTATTCTTTCCACCTGCCTCCATAGAGTCAAAACAGTGTGCAGTGGCGGCCAAAATGTGAAAACAATATTATTTTTCCTCTCTTCTTCTTGTTTGGCGCTATAACCGCATAGCGATCCCCTGCTATCTTTTCAACCACTAACTACAGCGGACTCCACATCGAATACTTTCAGGCCGAAGCATTTGCATCCATTCTTTTCATCCAGCTCATCATTCTACCTCCGGTACTAGACGTCACAAATATGTCGTGTTTCTTTTTATACGTATACATTAGGCATGTTAATTTTTCAGCCTATTCCGATCCCGGGATTTTCGTTATTACGGGATGTCGTTATCCCGGGATTTAGAAGGTGAATAAAAGCTCTGTGTACATCTTTAGCGCATAATTTCAAAAATGCCAAATTTTGAGTTGTGACTCTTTTGAAGACGGTGTGCGATATGTTATGGTATATGATGTAGTTCCCCTCAACTCAGCTAGTCTCCAAACTGTTTGAGATGTGCTCCCTAATTACAGGAGCGAGAGTGGAGTTGCGAAATTAATAGCTGTTTGTTTTGATACCAGATTTTCAGCGCCGAGTGAGTATCTTGGTTGTAGCGATATCATGACCCAGGTCAATGCAAATCCCTCGGCTTTAAAGCTATTCCACCGAGCGTATGTCCCCCAGCAAAAAGTCTCGATTTTATCAATTCCTTTGATTGTGATGCCGTCTAAAGAAGACGTGAGAAGAACCTAGGCTTAAAGCGCAGTTACCCACGGACGTAAAAACGGAGAACGTGTCAGCTGACACGATCTATCTTATGGGATCTGCGTGTTAACGAAAATTCACCACCGCATGACCGTGACGTAAACGTTGCTTCTCTCTCTCTTTCTATCAACAGCAAACTTGATATACTTCTACGTACTTCTACGCTACGCTACGTACACGTTCGTGGCTAACCGCGCTCTTACTGTGGGCAAAGTATTAGCATATACACACCTAACTCACAAAATATATTATAAACTTTCTGTGGACTTTTGAATTAAACGAGTTGTTGCGAAGAGTTAGGGTTGCCAGATTTTTTTGCGCGAAATCAGTACCTTTCATGCTATCAAAATCAGTACTTTTCAGGACAGTTTTATTCAAAGCAAAATTATGAATGTAAGTAATAGAGAATACTTAAAAACGCTAGAGTAATTGTTTTTAACAATATTTTGGTATATGAGGCGTTCTTTTTCATATTGGACACACTTTCGGCTCCCTTCAAATTTTTTTATGGGTTCTATTTATACATGAAATAAGCTAACACGTATTCGAGGAAATTTTTTTTATTTTTTCTACGGAGATATGATCAGTCAAAGTTCAGATTTTTTCGTCGTTCTGACTAATCATGTACTACTTCAAAGACCAGTCAATGCGGGATTTAAAATTACACCATCGTAATCCTTGTTTAATTATCAACCAAAAAACATGGTTCCAAAAAATGTGCGTTTTTCAAGAACTATTTTTAAAATATTTTCTTATGACGAGATGGTTTATTTTGTGAAAGTCAACAATTTTTTGAGATTTGTCGAAGACTTATGATGAGATATAGCCCAGTAAAGTTAGCTCAATGAATAGGGGAAAGCTTACAATAATTCGCATAAAGCCGAAAATTAGTACAAATGTTGCGAGCATCATTATGAATGAAATGTCAAAAGTCCCCATTTATTCAAGGTCACATAAACTGATTTTTTGCATTTTTTAGCAAAACGGTAAGGTTTATCATAAAAATAGGTGTGACGAAAGTGTAGATCATACAATTATCTTATAAAAACATTTTTATCCCTAAGGATTATCATTTCTGAGATATAGCGATTCAAAATTTTGGTAAAACCTGTCCGAGTTAGATCAAAATATGGTGTACTGTCAGGTCTGTCTACTATCTTTATTTATCTATGAGGTGCCATATTGAGGATAAAAAATTGCCAAAATGTGCCAAATAGAAAAATAAAAGTGCCAAAAAAGGTACCATCCTTTTTAATCCTTCCCATTTAGCAATAAAATAAGAACCACATTTCTAAAGCAAAGGTGCAATGCCAAAATAAAATAAATCTGTTGAAAAATCTTTAGAAATTAGAAAAGTTTAGTTGAGAAAAAGAAGTACACGCAAAGGATTACGCAAAAATGTATAGAAATATTACTTTTTTTGAAAAGTGCACTTTGTGCCAAATTGAAAAATTAAGTGCCATTTGATGTAAAATAGGGCCAAAAATGGCACGGTTTGAGCGAAGTTGGCAGCCCTGTGTACTGTACTGTACTGATAAAATCAGTACGTTTGGCAACCGTACGAAGAGTGGAGCATAAAAATTGATACGAAAATTTATACGATAGTGAAATGTCAAAAGTCCCCATAGGTCCCACGCCTGCAAAAAAATGTATTCAAGCTCAAAGGTTATATAAACTGATTTTTTTAATTTTTCAACAAACAGTAAGGTTTATAATAAAAATAGATCAGTAGATCTACAAGAGTGTAGATCACACAATTTTTATTCCCAAGGATTACCATTTCTGAGATACAGCGATATATATTGTACTGTACTGATAAAATCGGTTCGTCTGGCAACCGTACGAAGAGTGGAGGACAAAATGTATGTTATGTATTCTACCTACGCCTACTTCTTAGTTCTACCTTTAAATTGAGTTCCTTTAAATATCCTTTTTTATCTTCCACTAATTTTTTTATTAGATGTGAAGGCGCTTCTGTTGAGTGGTCAGAAGTGGGCACTGCCACTCCGTAGGACCTGGGTTCGATCCCGGGCAATGGCTAATCTCTGAGCGGGGCTGATTTTCAAAACGTCAATTGCATTGCATACGGACAAAGTTTAATGTTCCATAACGCCGAACTATGTACATTTGGTTGACAATGTATACTTTTCCAAAACGCATCCGAATAGTTAACGAAACGCATCGCTATAGTAATCAGCGCATCAGAAACAAAGTTGAGGCTTCGTTTGTTTTTGGCTACCATTGGTGTTTTAAAAACGGAAAATTCCGAAATGGTGACCATTGTTTTATTAAATATTCAAAATATGCAATGTATATGGTTGCAATGTTTCGCAACTCTGCATATACAAACAATTTAAATACCGCAGTAGGACTGTATCCAAACCTTGTATTGGTACATTTTGGAAGTCAGCCTGTATTTCTGCCATGAAAAGGCTTCTGAAAAAAATCCATTTGTCGTTCGGAGGCAGCGTAATATTGTTAGACCCTCCATAAGTAATATAGCATCAAGGTGCATACCACGGGACGCCCCCTCCCCCATATAAGAAAAAGTAAGAAAATTCTAGACCCGCCCTCCCCCACGAAGGTCTTACGTAATATATGGACAGCCCCTAATTGGATGAGAAACTCGGCCAAACACTTAAGAAAAATGCAAGCGCCAAAATATTGTTAGTGTTGCTAAGTTAGCTACTGACGGAAAATCCCGTTGTAATTACCCTCATTCGGCAATATGTAAACCACTATCAAGGCCAAATGCACTATGAATATATTTATGTACTTATTTATTGCAAAAGAAGCAATTCATGTATTTCGCGCTCAAAATGGGTTATTACCTCGAGAATTAATGCAAATGATTACCAAGCAAATAAAAATTTGCCAAGAAATATTTATGTATTTATGTATACTTTTTCAAAAAGTACACACGTACATATGTACATATGTATGTATGTATGTATTCTTCACGCTTGTATCTCTGCACTCTTTTAATATTTATAAACTGCAATTCACGCAAGTTCTAAATACTTAAAACGCCTTCGAATAGAAACACTTTCTCGCTTATATGTGATAATGAACCTCTGTGTATCTACATGCAAATCTTTGTACATATGTGTTATAATAGTTTTTCTGCCTTTGATGCCGTTGATAATATATTTTGTGGAAATTCACAAAATAATATTTGATATGGAGAAAATAAATGCACAATTTAAAGCAAATTGATTCTTATTTACAATAAAATACGAAAAATTTAAATGAGCTTAATCCTAATTTTCAGCTCACTAGTGCCAATCTCCGTAACGTAACCAGTCCTCTTTAATCATATCGGCCGCCTTCTCGGCAATCATTACCGTTGGCGTATTCGTATTACCCGTTGTTATTGTTGGCATAATGCTGGCATCTATCACACGTAAACCCTTGACGCCATAGACGCGCAAGCGTGGATCCACCACCGCAAAGGGGTCGCTATGGACGCCCATTTTACAAGTGCCCACCGGGTGGTAAATTGTCTGCGAATAGTAACGAGCAATACACTCCCAGAAGGCGTCACTTAGGTATTCTACTTCGGGACAATTGCGCCACTCGAAAATATTCAGCGTGGCATTAAGTCGTCTCATTATGGCGGTTTGGGTCATGCGATGTGCAAATTTTACGCCCTCCACCTGGGATTTTTAGACAACGTAAGTTGCTCTCACTTTCATTGGTATTAATTTAAACTTACCAACACAGCCATGTCGAGTGGGTCATCAAAGTAGTTGGCGTATATGCGCGGATGGTCATGCGGATCACTTGATATCAACTCCAGATGTCCTCGGCTCTTTGGACGCATTAACAGCGTTGTCAACGTGAAAGAATCAGTATAAATAATATTCTCGAACACTTTTTCGTAATTAGCAAATGTTATGCCACCACCGCGTCTTCCAATTAATCCACCATCAGCGCCATAACCTAAGCTGCCCATAAATATCTGAATATCAGGCCAATCTAGTTTAGGATCCTGGTATTTAGTGCTCAAGAAGCCCATAACCTCGCACATCGGCATGGCATAGAAAAACCCATCCGCTTGATGAAGAAACGAGTCCACAGACCTCACATTCAACATCTCCGGCACGATGAATGAAAGCCGATTGCCGGTTACACTATTGTCAACGCGGTATTGCGAACCTGTGGAAGATATATGATCCTGTAGATTGAGACCCACACCTGGCAGGTGCTGTATGACTGATATGCCATGCTGAATTAGATGCTGTTCCGGTCCGATGCCCGAAACCATCAACAGTTGCGGACTCGCTATGGCGCCAGCGGAAAGGATGACTTCACGCCTAGCGCGCACTTTATACAGAATACCTTGGTGTTCGAAGTGCACGCCACGCGCTACTTTGCTTTTCTCATCGATGGCGATATGTGTTACAAACGCATGCAGCACGATATCGAGGTTGGGACGTCGCCAAACGGGACGAATGTATGCCTTATTTTCACTGCAGCGCAAGCCATTGCGAAGTGTAGCATGCGGCAGAGTAAAGCCGGTTTGACTGCGGCCATTGTAGTCGTTGTATGGGTTGAGCTGACGAAAGAAAAAAAAACTAAACTGTAAGTCGACCTATTTTGGCAAATGTGTGATAATTTATAAACACACCACATTCAGCTCACTCGCGGATTGCATAAAAATATCCAACAACGGTGATGGAAACCTATAATTCTCGATTGTAACCGGTCCCCCGTAACCATGATAGAAGCGATCGTCCTCAAAACCCGGTACGCGCATATCCTCCATTTTTCGAAAATAATGTAAAACGTTATCGTAATTCCAACCAACATTGCCCAACTCCGCCCAGTGATCGTAATCGCGGCGATTTCCGCGCACATGCATCATCGCATTGATCGAGCTGCCGCCACCAAGCACCTTGGCGCGCGGCCAAAAACAAGTCTGCCCTTCCATCGCAAGGCAGTAACGATCAGATGGTTCCGTACGATATTTCCAATCGAGTGGAGTGCGCTGAAATATTGGGTACAGCATTGGCAGTTCAGCCAGCATCGGCTCGTCGCCGCCAGCTTCTAATAACAGCACACTCCAGTTGCGGACCTCTGAGAGACGCGACGCGAGAACGCTGCCTGCTGAACCGCCCCCAATAATCACAAAATCATAGGAATCACGTAAGTTTAGAATGTTTATTGCGCGCGGACGATTCGCTTCGTCAACGATGTCGGGGCGATAGAGATTTATACCCTCGAGTAATAAAATTATAACGGTAGCGCTTGGAAGTATGGTGAACGCGAAGCGCCACAGAGTGACCATACCCTCACCCAACATTTCACAATCAACTAGCGAAAGCGCGCACACAAGAAGAGAGGAGTGGAAATTCGTTGTTTGATAATTTCCGCGCGTTAAAACCGTCTCGGGCTGAAGAATAAATTGTACTGTGCTTTAAAGTAGACTAAGCCATGGCATGTTTGGCTGGAAAAGCTATTCGATCAAGTTTTGCTGACCCGATTCTTTAATTTTTCTGCGATTGTTGCCAATCATCGGGGAAATAAAACAAACAAAAAAATACAATAATACAGTAAAACAAAATTTTAAAGTAACCTCTTTGAGGAAAGGTACAAAACTGCATGTGATAGCAATTTTCATTGGGCCTTATACAATTTTAAGGGCAATGTGTTTGGGCTCACTTTTGTTGAATTATGTATATGTATATCGACACCAGTTGATTAATACATCCTATTTTTCTACAGAACTTCTGTCGCTCATTATCACATTAAACTACTAGTACGCTCTTACTCTTTATTTATGTGTTTTTTCTTTAATGTTTTGCACAAAAATGACAGGTTTTTGTTTCTCATTTCAGGTGAGTTTTCAAAACTACTATCGTTTTTTGACGCCCTGAAAGTTTGAACTGAATAACGAGGGGGCTCAGTGATTCAACTACAAATCAACCGCTGTGAAAAGTGAAAAATTGTGGAAGAAAAAAATTATTAAGCTCGAAATAAGCAGTGCCTTGAGTCAAAAGGTGCAACAGCACCAACCAATAATAACTGCTAGAAAATCGAGGAATTATTTTCACTAGTTTTAGAAACAAAACTTTTGACTCAACTTGGCAGGTTCATACTACTTACCCAATGATAATGAAGGAGTTCATAAAGTGTTGTATACTGTCGTATTGATATAGATAGTCAGCCTCATTGCGAGAGTCGTGCCGAAAGCAAGTTATTTTTCGAGAGTCGAATCGTATCGAAAATTTAACGTCATTGCCTAAAATTTCCACTCGACTAGTGTTTAAAACGGAAAACTTGGCTGCACTGCATAGTTTTCGACGATTTTCGTCGTTTACTTATTTCAGCATGGCAGTAGACAATGCTAATGTTATCGAGTCGTACAATTCAGCCTAATTTACAACTTACGCAATGAGGCTGAATGTTTTCCTTACATTACTAGAATAGTTGTGAAACTTTTTCAGAAAAATGGGCCTTGTGAATAAAAAATTAGCAATTGCTTTTTCTTAAAATTTCACACCTTTTACTGGATTTATTCAAACAAATTTAAGTAAAAGATCTGAAATTTTAAGTAAAAGCATCGCCTGGAGAAGAGTTGTGGACTGCAACTGGTGAGCGCACCCAAGATTTAGGAGAAGTACCATGTGAGGTAACAATCGGGGGTGTGGCCTCGTACACCAAGTTAATAGTAGCAGACATTGTAAATGAAGTCATCATCGGCGTGGACTTCCTGGGAATGATCCTGACATACCGCGAGAGGAAGGTGCCACTTAGGGATGGTAACAACAACCAGTACTGCAACAGATGGTTGGTCTTAGAGGAAGTGCCGAAGAACCCACCAGCAACGGAAGCGGTTAGTTGGACAGAGGTTGGCAGTGATGGAGACCCAACAGGAGAAGGAAGCAGTTCAGCTGTACAGGAAAATCATACCTGTTTCGCCAACCCGGAGAAAAAGACGAAGTCGCCACAAGGAAGTGGTTATGGCAAGCCAGGCAGTGTTTCCGGCGGGAAGAGAGCCACTAAACCACGTTCCAGTGGTGATATGCCGGTGGCCGGAAATAAAGGCGGCTGTGGAAGCAGTGAGTGCGCTTCGAAATGTCCAGGAAAAGGTCGTGGTCGGCAGAGGATGCAAAGGCAAGCATTAAAACCTGAGGCCAGGGATGAGATTATTCATATCCGGTCAATAAAATTGACGGCGGAATAGCGAGAGGCAGAAACACTAGCCAAGTTTCAGCTTTAGCAAGATGTGCTAAACGCAGTGCAGCTCGAAGCGTAGTCATGGCCACAGAGGCGGCGTAAATCTGGCGAAAAGGGTGCGCATGAGAAGAGACATGGTCTGGTCACCACCGGTGGCCGGCAGAAGCACGGCCATGTGAGATGGTGCACTCCCGGAGGAGATAAGCCGGAAGTAATATCCAATAGCGCATCGAGCCGAGAGAGTATCCAGGAAGGCGATTTGGCGTTGTTGTTCAAGCTTCAGCGGAAGCAAGGCTTCACCTCAAACAACAACGTAACTGCAAAGGTTGGTATAATATGGTCGAACAGCTGAATGACGTAGTGTATCGAATCCTGCCCATTGGGAGACCGAGAACCAAGATGAAGGAGGTCCAATTGGAAAGGCTTGCAGCATTTGGTACAGCAAGTGAGTGTGATCGGGACAATGAGACTTAGGTCGAGGGCAGTGTGGCGAATATTACGGCAACGCGAAGCGAACAACAAGAAAATGGCATAATGTTCGCGGAACGACGTAGAATATTCGACTGCGCGAAACGTCAAGTGGATGAATAACGCGAACAGCGAGAGAATGAGCGATAGACGGCAGAACGTTCTAGAGTTGCCATGAGCGCGAGCGCAGGTAGATAAGGCCGCTACTACAGCGGAAGTCAGTTACAAATTAGCAAGCTACAAGACAAGTCAGTTGCGATTTACCAAGCAATGTTCAGTTGTGTTAGCAAGTTTTATAAAGTGTTTTAATTGCCTTAACAAGTATTGTTAATTGTTGTTATTGTATAAACAACTATTGTAAAGTGTTTGTTGTACAATAAAATTAATTGTACTGTAATTTTGTTATCATCAGTGTTTATTTAACAATCCAGCGATACGAACTGAGGGATTTTGGGAAATCCGTCAAATAAACTAGGATTATCGTAACAATATAAACAGACACACATTCACACTATAGGTAGTTATAACCAAGAAATCGGCTACTCCGCCCCTAAACCCATCTTCGACAGGCTCTCCAAGACAAACATCCCGTCAAGTAGAGAGTGACAAACACCAAAACCGTGGAGAAGGGGGGAAATAAATTTTTACACGGATGGATCCAAGCTAGACAACTGGGTTTGGTGAGTTTTTTTTAAAGAATTTGGACTGGAACTATCTGCCCGAATTCCGCACCGCTGCAGGAAATCGAAGACCTGATAAGCTAGCCAGGAAAGGTACCAGTCTTCCACTGTGTGAAAGCAGAGGTGAGATTGGGATACCCATGACAACCAGCAAATTAAAGATTAGAAATAACATCATCATAACTTGGTCGCAAATTGCTGGGAAAAAACCTTTCAAGGGAGGACATTTCGATGGTCATGGCTTGTTTAACCGGTCATTTGCTATTTGGTGGACACGCTTCGAGATTATATATATATATTCTCCCATGAATATTGCAGAAGTTGCAGAGACAAGTAAGAAAAAGGAGCAGTTTTTCTGTAGCTGTCCGGATTTAAGTAAGAGCAGAGCGGGTTTTCTAGGTCGGCACTTTTTGGGCTCTCTCACGGAACTATCCGGTTTAGGAATAAAACCGATCCTACGCTCCATAAGAGCTTCAACATGGTTCTGTACACAATAGTCACTGAGGTTCCCGTGTTTCACAGTGTTATAAAAAAAAAATAATAAATTTTAAAAATTATAAAAAAGCGGCCGATTTCGTCTGCGGCGCACTATAGGCAAAACACGAGTTTTTTTTTTAAATCGTAGATCTTCGGTTATAAAAGAGATAATGGAATTAATTTTTTTTTTTTATCGTGGAGATAAATGATCATATAATGTAGGAAAACTATAGAGAAGTTACAACAACAATAACTTAACCCTCAAAATACCGTTCAAAATGTCACTTTTTTGAAATTTTGGATTTTCCCATTCTATTAGATAACACAATATTTAATACACCATTAGCACTGTTTCAGAAAGATTTCTCTTCACTCTAAAAACTTTTTGTTTAAATTTGCGCATATTAAGATAGGTAACCAGTTTCCTCTCTTAATGAATGCAAATTTAGACACTGCTTGCTTACTTTTACTTATCATATGTGTGGCGTAGAACAAATTTCAAATTTGTTTTTTGAGTTTTAAACATTTATTGTTCACATTTTCACAGTTTACACATAAAATGTTTAAAATTTCCTCTAAAAAATTTTCGTTTAAATTTACGCATATCAAGAGAGGTAACCAGTTTCCTCTCCTAGTGTGTGCAAAATTAAACACTGTCTGTTTACTTTTACATATCAAATTTGTCACGTAGCGCACACAAGGGGTGGATTTTGGGGCTAAATTTATTATGATATAAGAAATTTTGATAGAAAAAATTTTCTTTCCATTTCTTGTGCGTCATTTTGTAAGAATTTTTCTTTTTTCTTGAGAGCTCTTTAAAGTTTAACTGCGAATGAAAACATTGTCCTAAAAATATGCAATGCATACTTACTTATAGGGCTTTCGCACGCGGCGATTTTTCAGGCAACTTTTAGTTGAAAGCAAAAATCGCCTCGTCCGAACGGCCATTCAACTAATCGCTTTCAACAAAGTTGGTCGCCAGCCAACTTTGAGCTCGTTCAACTTTTTTTCCTTGCAACCCTGTGTTTGTTTACATTCTGTGTCAGTGTTGGGAAATTAAATTGTTCCTTCAGTACGAAATCTACAAAAAATGTACTTTTCGGCTATAAATTGTATACACTTTTTAATTCGCTCATATATTTTCTTAGTACATTCCCTTCAAGACCAATGAATTTATGGTATTCATGAGAAAGTTTTATTGTTTATGTACATACGTTTACGTAGTTTACACTTTTACAAATTGATTCCACGGGCAAATGTACTGCATTTAACGCAAATATGTATGCACACATTTTCAGGTATACATCTTAACAAAAAGCATATTTAAGTTATTATTAATGGATAAAAGAGACATTTTCCTTTGGATTCAGTACTAAAATTTGACATTTTAATAGCATTTCAAGTGCTTATCAAAACTTTACGACAAGATTTGACCATTTATCTTAATAGTATTCAATTTTAATTATTTTTTGTAAAAATACGGTTTATATTTTAAGAA